ACAGGGCCAAAAATTATCCTTGTTCTTTTCTTTATCTGTTCCTGTCATTATCTAGCAAGGAAAGGAAAGGTACATAGGTAAGTATGCTGAACAACAGTTTCAGGTATCTCTGCCTTTTATCGGTTTCACTGGTCCTTCATCAGGTTCAAGGGTGGGGACGTCTCAAACTGTTGTTCAGCAATCTTACATATGTGCCTTTTCTTATAATATTTTTTAAAACAGGGTTTGAAGTTCATTTGTTGCTTTGTACTCACTGGACATATATTATTTTTCCAGCGCAGCTTACCTATACCCCTGCAGTACTGGAAATTATATTTGTATTACATAGATTGAGACAAAGTTTAAAATCAGAGTTCCTATATTTTTAGTAAAGAATACCTGAATGTTTTAGTTAACTATTTAACTTTATCTGACAAAAATAGAATTAAAATATATGCATAGGCAAACCTTTTTTTTAACTTTGCGATAGAGTAGGAAGGGATTACAATACATGTAAGATATGTATTGCTTTTTGTGTCCCTGCTGGCGTGATTCATCTTCTGTATTTGTCCTGGTGATGGCAACTGCAAAATTTTAGAACTGTCACTAGACCTCTTGTGGTGATCTAAAATGCCCATGGAATAACAAAAAGAGTGCTCCTCTTAGTTGAGTAAATATCATTTTTTATTAAAGTAGTGTAGCGCTCACCCCCGAAGGAGCCGCTAAATGCCCGGTTCATCTCTAGTCTGTCTAGGGTATGTTCTTCAAGTGCCACCCACCCATTAGCACTAACCACCCTTCATCTGGTGCCCACAAACTGATGTCCACTCCAGTAGTAAAATGCAAAGTAACGGTTTATTGAACATCTTCACTGGAGAGAGAGGTTATAGGGATTCTAGGTGTCCAGGGGTAACCAAGAAGAGCTCCAGACTCACCAGACCTGGTTGGCATATCAGTGTAGATCCACTTGGGAGGCAGCGGATGGCATCTGATGTAACAGAAAAGCAGGATGGATGCAGATCCTCAACACAGGAAAGACACCGACAATGCTCCTGAAGTCCACTTAGTTCCAGGGTACCTCAAGAGCCTGCATTGGTCCCAGTTCTCTTCCTCTATCGGCATCACAGGCCTCCTCCACGTTGGAGGCCTCAGGGAAACCTTTTCCCTCACACCAGCCCATGCCCACCCCGGGCCTCAGGCCTAGCCTGGGGGGCAGGTTCAACGGCACCCAGCCCTATTCCATGGTTGGTCCTGGCTAGTCTGAGCACATGGCAAATCCCACCAGTATATGTACCCCATCCCAGCATGCACCACTGGCTGAGAGAAAAACTCAGTGATTGGCTACTGTACTGTGCATACACTACAGTCCCTCTCATTGGCTGTCCCACTATATGACAGAGTCATGCTCCGCCCAGGGGGGGGTACAGGCAATACCAGACACCTGGAATTAACCAGATAATTGCCACTACAAATCCAGCCAGGCTGACTACAGCCCTGGCTATCACTAAATGTCTAGTGGCCACATCACAGAAGGTGATGGGGGCTACAGTAGCTTATACCAGTCATATTTGAATAGGTGGAGAACTGTTGGCAGAAATGTGCTATAATACTCTGCCTGTTCGCTTTATTTTCTTACATAAATATTTCAAGTCTATTGATTTCTTTTAGCATATTAAGCATTCTATAAAGTCGATTATTAATGCATAAAAAAGAATGTATCCTGAGTCATATTGAAAACTAAATTTGCTCCAACTAGAGGTCAGCAGTGAGCATTTGCTAGTTTTGTTTCACATTTGTACTATACAGGTGAAACTCGAATAATTAGAATATGGTGCAAAGTTCATTTATTTCACTAATGCAACTTAAAAGGTGAAACTAATATATGAGATAGACTCATTACATGCAAAGCAAGATAGTTCAAGCCGTGATTTGTCATAATTGTGATGATTATGGCTTACAGCTCATGAAAACCCCAAGAACCTCCAGCTCTGCGGCCGGAGATCAAACGGAGCTCAGTACACGATCTCCGTTTGATCTCCTCCTCGTTGGACTGCAGGAACTGATGTGTATTACATCATGTCCGCATTCCTCTGTCACTCTCCGGTACAGAAACCGGAGAGAAGCTGGTGAAGCAGGTCTCTGCTTCATCAGCTTCTCTGGGGGTCCCTAGGTGACATTAGGGGTCTTGAAGACCCCTGATGTCTCCATAAAGAGGACCTGTCACTGCAAATTGGCTATCACATAGGGAGCTTGTTTGCTCCCTATGTGATAGCAATAAAGTTAAGTGTAAAAAAAGGTTTGAAAAAATGAAAGTTAAAAAAAAAATTTAAAAAGTATGGCAAAGCAATAACATTTTTTTTTTTAAATTAAAGTCCCCCGCCCCCACATGCACACGCAAACATGCGTCGAGTCTGCCTACGTGCGAAAACAACGATTACATCCATTGCGCCACACATGTTACATTTCGCCGCGAACGTCAGAGTGAGAGCAATCATTCTGGGGCCATTAATCACTGAAAACACTAAACTGATGAGCAGTAAACGCTCCACACATGTTACATATCGCCGCGAACGTCGGAGTGAGAGCAATAATTCTGGGGCCATTAATCACTGATAACACTAAACTGATGAGCGGTAAAAGCTTTTAAAGCATCGTCTATGGTCAATTTTGGGTATGGTAGTTTTTTGTGATTTAGTGGGTGCGCGCAATTTTAAAGCTTGACATGTTTGGTGTCTATTTACCCGACGTGACTTTTATATTTTACCAAAACATTGGGTAATAATAAATGTTTTATAACATAACGTAGGGAGAACAGGGTTTTTTTCAAAATTTTCGGTACTTTTTAAATTATATAGTAAAAAAAAACCCCGTAGTGGTGATTAAATATCACCAAAAGGAAGCTCTATCTGTCCCCAAAAAATTGTATAAAATTAATTTCAGTACAGCGTTGCATGACGGAATAAATGTCAGTCAAAGTACCGCAGCCCTGAATACTGAAAAATGGCCTGGACAGGAAGGGGGTATAAATACACCGGTCAGTAAGTGGTTAAGCAGTTACAGCAAAATATATTTTTTCCTTATAGGATAAAGGTTTTACATAAGTGAATAAAATCTAACCATTGTAAACACCCCTGTTAGTGTTAAATGGTTTGCCTCAACCCTCTGCCACTTTTGCTAGACAGCTCGGTCTGTTAAAGGATTAGTAAGCTGCAACATGGTACATGTTTTGCTTTGTGATTTAGATACACATTAAAGTGACTTTGTCGTGAGAAAGTATGAAGGAAGGAAACTTCTTTGATCTGCACCACAAAGAAGGACATATTTATCAATGAAGCCTGTAGACTAGAGGTAGCCAAACCTCAGCCCTCCAGCTGCAGTGAATCTACAAATCCCATTATGCATCTGCCTCTGGAAGTCATGCCTATGGCTAACACAGTCTTCCAATGCCTAATGGGATTTGTAGTTTTACCACAGCTGGAGGGCTGCAGTTTAGCTACCCTGCTGCAGACAGTGTTTGCAGGCATCCCCTAAGACACAAATTGGCACTTGGCTGTCAATTTGCTGATATTACTGGTGGAAAAGCTGCAGTGGGGAAGAAGGACCAGATCACACGAGGTATACCTTTGCACTATATGCAGCACAGTAGAGTATTGGTTAGCACTTCTGCCTTGCAACACTGAGGGTCCCTGGCAGGGTTGAACAGATACCAAGTACAGTACTCGGTACAAGTACGAGTACATGTACCGATACTTTTGAACTCCAAGACTAGACTAGAGAAAAATTCAAAAATTAGGAGGCAGCTGTGGTTTTGTAAGGAGCACACGGAGCTCCTGGGATTAGTACATCTCTGTTTTAATGTACAATTTTGTTTTTATAAATATAAATAAAGGGATGCACAGATACCAGTTTTGCGAGTACGAGTACTGGTACTTGCCGAGTACTTACAAGTACGAGTACTGATATATTTTTGTTTATTGTCATGTGAGATTTTTTCTAAAATAATACAGACTAATAATTTCAGGACAGTGGTGGAGCACCAGAGCCAGGTCCCAGCTGTAACCGCTGCAACCCTGGTAGTTCTCATGAAAATGCCAAGTATCTGCACTGGTACTCGAAAAGTATATGGGCATCCCTAGTCCCTGTTTTAAATCCTGTTCAGGACACTATCTGCAAGGAGTTTGCATGTTCTCCCTGTGCTTGCGTGGGTTTCCTCCCACACTCCAAAGACATGATGGGAGGAAAATTGGCCCTAGTATGGGTATGCATGTGTGTGTAATGGGGACCATAGATTGTAAGCTCCTTGAGGGCAGGGACTGATGCGAATATGTGCTATGTAAAGCGCTGCGTAAATTGTCAGTGCTATATAAACACCAATAATTGATAATAACGGTGTATGCCCAACGCTTGTAACTGCTTAAATTTGTTCCACCGAAGCTTAACAGTCTGAACATAAGGTCACAGTGAGCTGCATAGAAAGAGAAGAGTCCTCCACAATCACTGGACAAACCAAGTACTATGTACTTACATGCACAAGGATTAACACCCCCTTCATGATGATGAAGGTGGAGGGCTCTTCTCTATCTATGTGGCTCGTTGACACCATGGAAGGTCTGATTGATGAGGTCATGCTGTTACTTCTGATATCTTTGTGAGTATGTTATAACCATTTTTATTTTTCTTATTAAACATTATTTCACAAGGAGGCACCCTTTCTGTTGTCTTGTTTTTTCACATGTACTTCAAGGTTGATGTTGAGAGGGCTGCCCTGAAGTGAAGTTTTGTTTGGAGGATCATGCTGTATGAGAATGTCAGCGCCAGCTTAATCAGTGTTTTTGTCTGTGTCTGGAGTTCAGCTTTAATGCTTTGCTCTCCTTGATCAGCAGAATTCACACGAAGCAAGCATCATCTGGCTGGAAAAGCCTAATTAGTTTTGTTGGTACTTCCATACAAAATCTATGCTTGATATGTTAATATCTTTCCTATAATACACTCGTCTTAACTTCAATTTTTTTTTTCCACAGATGGCTCTGTCAGATCTTCCCAGCACCCCTTTGGCGCTAGAATACCTTAATGACTTTGACTTAATGAAGTTTGAGGTAAAGAGGGAGCCACCTGAACCAAGGGCTACACGCCTAGCCCCACCCCCATCTCTAGGCTCTACTCCATGCAGCTCAGTACCACCTTCACCCACCTTCAGTGACCCCCCTGAATCAGCAGGACCACCTCGTCCAAGTCTGGAAGAGCTTTATTGGATGGCAGCTTTACAGCAACAGATGGGTGGGGAGGGACTACCGCTAACCCCGGAAGATGCAGTGGAGGTGCTGATGGGAGGAGCTGCACCTACTCTACAAGGGATGGAGGGAGGATACAGGACTGGGGGGCAACATCCTCACAATACTCACCCTTCAGGTTACTTGCTAAGTCCAGAAGATATGAATCAGCAGCATCAGGTGAGGGATCATGAAAATGGTACAAATACAATACAATAAATTGTGCAATATTTATTCATCTCTGTGGTGGCATTGAGCAAAGTATTGCTTAGGCCAAAACTTTCACCATAATACTTACACCTTGTTAGCCTACCCTGGCACTGTCAATTTTAAGGGACTCCAGTGCTGTTAGTGATCCATTTGACATTGCTGCTGTTTATGGCTCAGGTGTAGGTATGCATCAAGTAAGAGCATATGCATGTGACACTTCTTGATGCTACTGTGTGTGACAGGATTTGTCAATACAGTTATATCCATGAAGCCGGACAGGTCACTGATCACTTAATCTGCTAATATTAAGACTGAGACAAAATAGAGATGGGCAAATGAAGATAAACAGAAGTGAAACAGTAGCTGATACAGATAATATTCATCTGAAAAAAGATTATTCTAACGTCATAGAAAATGTGTTCATGGACCACATATGATCATTTATGATTCTGACATTATTAAGAAACAAGGATTTGGCCCCTTTATTAAAGCCGGCCATACACAACCGGCTCTCTCATGCATGTGATTAGAGAACTTCTCATCCTGTTAATGATTACCACATACCCCAGTCCGCCACAATTCCATACCCATGAGATTTTTTCTTTTTGTTTCAGAGCATGAAAACACATGACAGTCCTTACCCAGTCACAGAGATTGGCCAACATTCTTCAAATCTTTGTGAATCATGACTCTTTGGATGCTCTCAGGGCAGTATATACCAACATTCTGCTCAGTAAAGCAGGGTTAGTGACAACAGCAAGGGAGAAGCTTTTTTTTTTAGTTTTGCCTTATTTCTGGATGATTTAGGGTAAACCCTGCAAAAGTGTATGCATGGGGGATGAACTATACAGTCTGCATTGGTGAACTGTAAAGTCTGGGAATACGTTTGCATTTAAAGGCGAACTCCACTTTCGTTAATAAAATTAATATAGCATTTAAAATACTTACACACGCCCTTTTCGTAATTTAAAGTGATATTAAACACCAATTTTTGTAACATTTGGCAGCTGAACTCTTAACATACATTGTGTGCAGCTCCTTCTTTTTGTTAAGATTAATTTTCCTGCAGTTTCCCCCGACCTCCCTACATACATTGTGTGCAGCTCCTTCTTTTTGTTAAGATTAATTTTCCTGCAGTTTCCCCCGACCTCCCTACTGCTGGCTTTGGTTTTCAGTTTCCAGGGTGGCTCCTTGGCTTGCAGGGCACGTATTCCCGGCAAAGGACTAAATGCGATGTAAACACCCTGCCTGCACCGACACGTACAGGCAGCCTGAGATTGAAAGCAGCTCCATTGTGTAAATCAGTGTTCCCCAACCCCCGGTCCGCGGACCGGTACGCGGATCAAATGGTACCGGGCCGCACTGTCTCAGTGCGGTCTGGTCCTGCAATATGGGGCAGTGCAGGGTCCCGGTGTTCGAACACCGGGGCCCCGCACTGCCGACCGGCTTGAAAGTGAGGGGGCGGGTCCTGTGACTCACCTCCCCTCCCGGCCGCGTCCATAGTAACAGGAGGCGGGAGGGGCAGCCCCCTGCAGTCAGTGCACACATCAAAACTCCCTGGCTGGGTAAGTCCGAGCGCCGGTGCGGGGGGGGGGTTAGTGGAAGGGGGCAAATAGTAGT